GCAATGCTTAAAATAGATATTATATACCTCGAATGGAAGTTTACTGATCATAGCACCTAAAAGAAAATGAAGTACTTGGTAAAAGTCAAGCAGTGTAAAAGATCATATAAACTAAATGATCTAGTATCAATCTTTCTATTATGTTTATCTTGTAGATTTTCTTAATGAAAAATTCTTTGAGTGGCTAGAAAATTCACCCAAAATGGAGAGGCCTATAGTACAATAGCCTATTGCCTCCATCATAGTCAGCAATAGTAGCCACATTAGAAAAATATGAGGAAATTAAGCCATAAACTTCTATAGCACTTACATTGTTATGTATTTGTTATTTCCTTGTATTGGATAAAGTGTATTTTGACACCACAACAGGATTCAAACATTAAATATTTACTCACAGAATTTGAACTCAAAACTTACTATACGCATGTAGGATTAATATAGACCCATTATGTTTTTAAATTAACTTGAGGTTAGTTTTCAATAAAATCACTCCTTACTCCAATGCTACTGTCCCTCCAAAATAAGTTCCAAATATAAAAGGTTGGATGCTTTGCTAGTGTGCAATGAAATAGATCATCATCCAAGAATGCCCATACTTTACGAGAAAAGGTAAATTAATTAGTAAATGTGAAATTTGAATAGAGGTTTTAGTGGCTCTCATCAGTATTAGTTCATCATCAAAACATCCACCCTACAGGCTTGATGAATTGCAGTTTACCCAACAATAATTTGTCACCCACCTTAAGCAAGCTTCAAGACATTCTAGAAGCAACAACAACAACATGCAATAACTTTGCCAATAGATCTGATGCCCCATGGGGTGACCTTTATACATCCATCTGTACCGATCTATCTCATTATATAATATTCCATGGACAATTCTGGTTCTTCGAATAAGTACTTGCATAAGCTACTTGGTCTGCAAAATAAGGTGGAATATTATCATAAGGATTATTGCCACCATCATCAGTAACATAAACCCATCCAGTGTTTTGCTGGTAAGCATGATCCATAACACTCTGGTAAACCCCACTACTGATATTGTAAGCCACTGCAAGGAAATTACTTCGGTCATATTTATTGGTCCATGAAGCTTGAGTCCAAGTGAGAGCTCTTTGTGCTGTATTGTTACCCTCAAAGACACAGATCACATCAGTCACTCGTGACCCATTATATATTAGATAAGATTCCAGTGTTGCTGTCCCAGGATTATTCACCACCAAGCTACATGAGCTCTTAGATTTCACATATCTATAGAGGTTCTGGTAATAACCTTGGGAGCCATTGTTGGAGTTTGCCTCATCAAAAAAGATGCCACTGATATTGGGGTAGAAGCTATAGTATTTATCAACATCAGAAATAACATTTGCATATGCCCGGTTGCCATATGTTGTGGGAACATAACCGAGTGAGAGACCTTGGGCATTCTTGAAAGCTTGGATGGCATTTTGGTAGTCTGAGATTGCAGAAGTACCAGGACCATTATTGGGATTTATGATTGTAACCAGGCGGTATGGAAATTGGGCTGCTTGGGTAGTGAGGGTCTGCCATGCAGTATTGCCGGGAGAAGGATAGATGTATGCTGGTACCATGATTTTCAGCAGGCTTGAGCAGTGAGTTCTTCCTAGGATTGTGAAGATAAGCATTGCTAAGAGAGACATTATGAGATATGATCCACTAAACATGAAAGTAAAAAAGAAGAGAGGGTGAGATGTTTTGAATTAATGAGACTATTATATAGAGTTGGGCTTTTAATTGATCACCAATAAGGCAATATCTTACTTTTGACAATTTTGTAGCTCTGTAGCAACACCTCTCCTTTATCTTACCACACATACCAATCTTTTCTAAAGCTCTAAATCCACCACACAGCCAGAAGTGGTTCTCTACCTATTGATATTATTATCTTCTTCTAGCATATGTTTGAATATTCTTGTATATATAAAAATAAATTTTTAGATATTCATTATTCTTTTTATAAATTTGTAAGAATTTACACAACATTCCCATTAATTTCCAATTATGTTTTACTTTTAGTTGCATAGATTCATATTTTATTTATTTTTATGTTTTTAAGGGCATAGATCCAGCATCCAGGAAATAAAATAATACTCTAAAGTTTAAATCATTTTATTTTCTATGTATATATGTAATATATACTTTTTCTGATATGATTTTGGTTTAATATTTTTTTAATCCTTCAACAAAAAGTTCATAGCAAGCCATTAGACAACATACAAATTATTGGTTTACTTAAGGCAAAATGGTAGGGGACTAAAATGCCAGTGAATATAGCTAGAATATGCTTGAATATTCTAGGATATTCTACAATCTAACAGTTATTATTCATTTAGATTAATCTTGTATTTATAATTTATAAACTTTCCTAAACACTTTGTAGTATATTATAGTTTATTCTACCATCTAATGGTTGATATGCAATAAGATTAATATATTGTTTATAAATTACAAACATGTTTATAATTATAAACTTTTATTTTATCAATTATATTGATAAATAGGAATAACACTACTATTAAGAAAACCGCAATAAATTATTATTTTATAACTTATCTATTCCACGATTGTTTTAATATTCTCCATCAGTTATAGAAATTACTTGGAAAGAAATTTATGGTATGAATATTTGTTTCTTTTATGAAAGTTTGCATAATGATTAGAGAACACTAAAGCATAGTGAATTGTACTACAAGCAAATTCATTTAGTTTATAATTTTTGGATTTTTTCTATTGACAATTTCATTGAAAACCTTATTTAGTTGATACACCTTTGTTCGGGCAAATACAAAACTTAATGAACTCGAGGGTTCTAAGTTCATTCTAATTGAGAAATTAAGTAACACTCAAAGATATTCAAATTCAAACCCACTGCAAGGAAATTTCTTTTATCATACTTATTTGTCCAAGAAGCTTGAGTCCAGTTAAGAGCTGAATTAGTATCCTGGGTTGTTTTCCCAGGATTGTTCACCCCCAAGCTACACTGGCTCCTAGATTTCACGTATCTATACAGTAGAGAATTGATAGGCCTCCGGCATTCTGGAATGGTGGGATGACCATTTGATAGTAATTCTGGTATGACTTTTAGCAAGCTTGAGCGGTGAGTTTTTCCTAGGATCATGAAGATACGAATTATTAAGATAGACATTATGAAAGTATTTCAAAATATTACGAAGTCCATGGGATACCAACAAAGTGGAATCTACATAGGAAAATTTTCCTCCAACGCATCGCCATGATTACCAACCTGACCATCATACTATAATCCACGAAGCCATCATGATTGATCTTCTATAGTTAATCCACGATCTGAGTTTCATTCCTTCAAGCATGCCATGAGCGAGCCACGAAACTTTCAATCTATAGAGAGAGATGGGAAGCAAGAGAGCGGCAGACGAGAAAAAGAGTAGCTACTGCACTAGGATTTGCATAGGCATTTGGAAATGCGTGATTCTACTTTGTCTCCTTGGAACCAACTTTGTGATGCTCTACAGCCTCACAGCAACGAGCTCGCAGCACGATCATGGCAGCAAGAGCTACAGCAGCTTCTTCTCCAGATTAGCCGGCGAAAGATCGAGCAAGCTTCAGGCGACGAAGATCACGAGCCACATCTCTCGCGTCCACCACGAGCTGGAGCTAGCGCAGATTCAGCTGGTCGGGATCCGGAACGATCTATCCTCGTTTCTGGGTCGGCTAGATCAGCAGCGAGATCCAAAGCCAAGGAGTCAGCGAGAGGAGAACGAAGATCAATCCATGCATCCCGAAAATGTGAACGACAACCTCAATCTCTTGGATCCAATCCCCAGCTCCGAGCTCCAGGAGTTCATCGCGCTCCGCGACCTTCCTCTCGGCAAGCACAAGCTCTTCCAGATCTCAAGGGTGGCATCGCCGGTGGGCCACGCGTGCGCCGGATCCAGCAGCAAGGATCTCCTCCAGACCTTCATGGACTACCCCGTGGGAGGCCTTTGCCCGGACGACTCCGATCTCGCACAAACGCTGATGCTGCAAGGCTGCGAGCCTCTCCCGCGCAGGCGATGCTTCGCAATATCCCCAAACTCGTCCAGCGATCCGCTGCCCTTCCCGGCTTGTCTCTGGAGCCTCCCTCCCGACAATTCCATCCTCTGGACGCACTACGCCTGCAAGAACTTCAGCTGCCTGGGCCGCCATAGCTCGAGCTCGATCATGAGCTGCGATTCCTGCCTCGATTTGGACAAGGAGAAGCACAGATGGGTGAGCGCTCGCGACGATCACGACCTCGTCATTCACGGGGTGCTGGCGATGAAGCGAGGTGGGCTGAGGATTGGGCTCGATCTGGGCGGCGGGAGTGGAACCTTTGCAGCTAGGATGCGAGAGATGGGCGTGACGATCGTCACCACCACATTGGACGTGGGCGCTCCCTTGAGCAGTGTCGTGGCGGCGAGGGGCTTGGTGCCCATGCATGTCACCATATCCCAGCGGCTGCCCTTCTTTGACAACACCATGGATATCGTCCACGCCGAGGACATCGTTGGATCGGGCTCCATGCCCGCTGAAAGCTTCGAGTTCCTTGTGTATGATCTGGACAGGATATTGAGGCCTGGAGGGCTCTTGTGGCTCGAGAAGCTGGCTTGCAGCTATGAGATGTTGCAAACGGTCTATGTTCCTGCCATTGATCGCATGGGCTATGAGAGAGTTAGATGGTCCGTTGACTCTCACAGCTCTCGCCATGTCTTTCTCACTGCTTTGCTTGAAAAGCCGGTTAGAAGTTAAATGCATGAGATATACCAATTGCTAATAAGTTATTAGCTATCGAACATAACTAATAGTTCTGCCATAAATATTATATGTAAATAACACCAAGTTCATTAACATTGGAACATTGATCGATACAACATTCGGCGTATGAATCAGAAACTATACAAGGTTATGGAAGATTTCTTAAAGCCGCAGATAGAGAGAAAAAACATCCTTGTTTACTACAGCACTTTTGGCCTATGCAGGTTTCGAACCTGCGACCTTGGCGGTATTAGCACCACGGTATGACCAACTGAGCTAAAAGGCCTTAGCACTAAGTTAATTTCAGTTTATTATTGTTGGATTTTCTTTCCTGGCCACCATCTTTCTCATCTCTCTTGCAGCTTCGGGCTCGTTAGCTCTCTCCAGCAAATCGGCCATGCATTCGCAGTGCTCCACGCCAGGACTCACTCCATACCTGGAGCTCATCGACTTAAGAAGCTCACGGCCCCTCTCCACGAGCCCGGCATGGCTACAAGCCGTGAGAAGGCACAGCATCGTCACCCTGTCCACCTGGAGGCCCTCGTCTAGCATCCCGCCGAAGAGATGGAAAACCTCTCGCGTCCTCCCTTCGCGACTATATCCTGCCAGTAGCGACGTCCAAGTTACCAAGTTCCTCTCTGGAAGTGAATCGAATACCTCGCGAGCTTTGGACACCATCCCGGACTTGGAATACAAGTCCACGAGTTTGCTGCCGACCTGTGTCTCACACTCGACGCCACTCCGGCAAATATCAGCGTGGAAGGCCCTGCCGGTTTCGATCGAAACTCCGTCCCTGCAGGCCCCCAGTGCTGCGACGAATGAGGCCGAGTTTGGATGGCATCCGTCGCGTTGCATTGGAGCGAAGAGCTCGCAAGCCTTTTCACCTTCACCGTTTTCAACGTATCCCGCCAGAAGTACCGTCCATAGAACCGCGTTTCGCCGCTCCATTCCGTCAAAGGCCCGCTGAGCGTCCTCCATGCTTGCACACTTTGCGTACATGTCCACCAGGTTGCTCGTGAGGAAGAGATCGCAGCAGCCACACCTGATAGCTTCTGAGTGCACGGCCATCCCCTTCTCCAGAGAGTTGATCTTCACTGGCCTTCTCTTGATCGTCTCCACTTGTTGGTGTTGGATTTCTTCTTTCACTGCGAGGCCGGTGCAAGCTTTCGATGCAGCCAGAAAGCTCAGAGCATTTGGTCGGCAACTTCTCGGTCTTAGCTCTATGAATAGCTTCAGTGCCAGATCTTCTTCGCCATTTTCTGCGTATCCCAGCATGAGCGCTGTCCAAAGAACAACGTTGCATGACTCCAGCTTGTTGTAGATCCTCTGAGCGTCCACCATGCTCCCACACTTGGAGTACATGTCTACTAGACTGCTGGCCACGAAGAGGCTGGTATCAAGTCCTCTTCTTCCTGCCTCAGCATGAACAGCCATGCCTTTCTCCAAAGCAAAAACTTTGACGAGCCTGTTATGAGCAGCCACTTCTTTCGTTGCTAAGCTACTGCATGCCTTGAGAACTGCCACAAAGCTCAAATGATCCGGTTGGAGCCGAGTCGAGAGAAATCGAGAGAACACCTCAAAGGCCACTGCTTCTTCGTGGTTCGTTGCATATCCCAGCACTAGAGCGTTCCAGGAGATCGTGTCTGGAGCCATGATCTTCTCAAACGCTCTGCGAGCATCGGCCATGCTTCCGCACTTCGCGTACATATCCACCAGCGTATTCCCCACGAAAACATCACTAGAGTCGAATCCAAGCCTGCAAGCCCGAGCGTGTATCTCCCGGCCTCTCTCGAGGCTCCTTGACTTAATCGCCATAGCCTTACCACCATCCTGTATGGCTTCTTCCTTCTCCGCCAGACTCGAGCAAGCCTTGAGCGCAGCGACGAATGGTCGAGGATTCAGCGGGCAATCCATGCGGAAAAACTCCTCCAGTGCTCGATCTTCCAGTCCGTTGTCCGCGTAGCCCATGATCAAGGCCGTCCAGACTGCTACGTCGCGGTTGCGGCGAGGAAGCCTGTCGAAAACTTCCCTCGCGTCGGGAAGATCTCCACACTTGGAATACATGCTGATGAGACTGCTGGCCAAGTAGATGTTGCTCTCGTCCCCACTCTGGACGGCCTCGCTGTGGATTCTTTTCCCTCTTGCCAGATCCTTGGAGCTGCCGCATTCTTTGAGCCCGGCGAGGTATCGTCGTAGCCTGGTCTGCTTGCGATCGATGGTCTCGAGCTACTAGGAAGAAAAACGGTCGGCCTAGCTTGGAATCCTTTGCGAAAGCTCACTTACCTGACAGAAATCTGGCGTCTGGATCGATCGCTGCATTCCATCCTCCCTAGAAGCGAGCGCGATGGAATCGCATTGCTCAAAGAACCCTAAATAATGGAGGGAAGGAGATTTTGGAAATAGGGAAGGGCCAGCGCTAGGGCGAGCGCTGGGAGGGCGAGGCAATGGCGCTGGGCATCGGCGTGGCATTTTGCCAGGCCAGTGGAGCTGCCGTTGCGCGATTGCGTGAGCCCTGTGTTTTGAAGGTATCGATGTCGCCCGAGAGCAAGAGAAGAGTGGTAGAATGCAGTGTGCTGCTTGGTTCTAGACAAGAGAAGGAGAGGAATCCCGAGCTAGAATCGTCGCGGGCGGCATTGTGGAGCTCGCGAGTTGCGACAGTCTTGAACCAAAGGTAGCTCATTCTCTTCTTCGTTTTTAGCCTTAGCTATATAAATTTCTTAACAGGTTTCGAGAGAGAATGGAAGTAAGAGAAGGTACGAATTGATTCTTCTTTACTCGTTTCCGTGAAAATATTTCTGTGCTTAGGAATCGAAATGGAAGGACCGCTTATTCGGCTTGCTGAAACTTCATCAACTGTGGAAGCTGCGATTGTGCTGGTATGTTTATACGAGATTTTATTCCATTCGAAGATAAACTCAGGCATATTTTCAAGGTCTTTGGAGCAGGGACTTGTCAATGCTTGGATGCAATATGTGCTAAACTCAGGGCTGTGCGCGCTGGTGGTGGTATCGGGTTTTGTATCGCCACGAAACCATTCAGATTTGAGGGCCAAAGACGTCTGGAGAAAGTAAGTCTTTGATGAGCTGGCAGTTTTTACTGTTTCTTCGAAAGTAGGCTGAGCGGAGTCTTGCCACTCTTAAAGCTGCTGCTGACTTACTTCTTGGTAAGATGACTGATCTTTGTCGCAAATTATGTGAGGTTTCTTACTTTGCAGTGATCGATCACGAGACATTACTGACAAGAGATGGTCTTACTGTAATGGAAGCAACTTGTCTATCTAACATTATGGTTTCACTCGGAGTTCAGGCTGTCTCTCAGTTGATATCTGTAAGTGACGACATTGCTCTTAGTTTTCGACAACTGTCATCGTCTTCTACAGGGCCAAACGTCTTTCTTTTATGATGGAACTACTGAATTCTCTATTTCTGAAATGGTAAGATACGTTTCTCTTTCATTCATTTGTTACTATTCGGTTCTGCTCAGATCCTTCGGCTATGGGGCTCAGCAAATGTAAGGCTTGGAAGTGGGATTTCGCTGACGGAAGCAGTCAAGGAAGCTCTCGACATGGTTCCCGTGTCAGAGACGGTATGTTTTTCTTTCTGGTGTATACGTCTCAATACTAACTGATGCGAGCAGGAGAGACAAGGACCAATAATTTGTGCCCTGACCAACTCAAAGCGAGTACGAAAGGATGAAATGCGCACCGCTGCGCGCATTCTCCGTTCTGTATCAAAAACAGAGGCGACAATTGCATGCTTTTCCGTGCTTGATGCAAGTTTGGCTCCTGGAACTCATCACGTTCTGTTAATGACAACGAGGTATATGCAGCTTTCTTACGTGAGAAAAAGTCTTGAAGTTTCAATGCAGGATGGAAACTGTAAAAGACAACTTGATTGGAAAAGTTGTGTATCCCAGCACGCGTCAAGACAGCCGCGGACATTGTCAGAATGCTCCTACGTCGAGCTCTACTTTTACAGAGAATTTCCTTGCTAAAAACTCTTCATCAACAAGTCGAGAGAATACAAGAGCAAATGGAACTTCCGTGACTGAAACTCACATCGATTCAAAGGCACAGAGAACGTTTCCAACCGCTTCTACGAGTGATAAGGAATGTCGTTCATGGGAATCAGGACCATTTTCTGATAACGCGAGAGCTTGGGCCCAGTCGAGATCAAACGAGCCTCGGCAGCCTGGTCGAGTTCGAGAAATCCGGCAAGCACAGGCAAACAGCTACATGGAACCACACGAAGCAAACAAGGTGAATGCGCTGCAACCGTTGCCTTGTGACCCTGCTGCAGTGCCTAACACCGGCGTTCTAAGGATGGGAATCGACGCGGTGTTGGAGGCGTGTAGAACGGCCTCCGAGTTGATCCAAGACAAAGATCGCAACAGGCCAGAGCAGTCTCTGTCGGAACGAGCTGCGTGTATGCTGGCAAGTTTCCATTTGGTTTGTTCTTACATATTTAACATTAGCTTCACCAGGAAAACGAGCGAAGTCCGAGAAGCCTCTCTCCGTCGGTGGAGATGAACTGTCAAGGTGGTTCGTATAAAGGACGTTGTGAAGGAGGACAACCAGATGGCAAGGTAATCAAGTAACGAGCGTTTAAATTCCTTCTTATTTTCTCATCGTGGCTATACGTTTTCAGGGTCGATGGACGTTCGCTGATGGGAGCTTCTACGACGGGGATTGGGTCCAAGGCAAGAGAAATGGGATGGGAACGCTTTACTATGCAAATGGCGACGTCTACCAAGGGCACTGGCGTGACAATCTCATCCATGGAAAGGTATGTGTTTTGATCGTCAAGCCAAGCATTGAGGTGTGGTCTCAGGGATGGTTTTATTTCCACTCGGGCGACCGGCTCCATGCCGAATTTGTGCAAGGGAGAGCGCACGGACAAGGGCGATACTACTCGGCAGACGGCAGTGTTTTGTTTGGGCACTTCTGGAAAAATTCGAGGCATGGCGAATGCATCTTTTGCGACTCGTCCGGCTCCAGGTGATCATATCTTTCTTCTTGTCTATCCATCTTTGATGGCGTCCTTTTTCCTTCTTTGTAGGTGGTGCGAGACTTGGGACTCGGGGGTCTTAGTTTCGCGCCAAATACGTTTCTGATATCATTCTATCACCTTGGCTTGACGCTGCATGGAGCTGCGGGCATGAACACCGCCTGGAAAACAAGCAGTAACGTCCTTCCGGGAGGAACAACGGCCTATATCAAGAGTTCCATCCTCACTAAGCTCGTTAGTCGATTACCTGTGCGCGAGGATGATCCCATCAGCTCCTCGCAGGGACGCGGTATCCTGGTTTTGAAATGATCCTGCAGAGTGGCGCTATTGGAATTTATCGCGAAGATGATCTCGCTCGCCTAATTTCCCGATAGAAGGCTGGCACACTTTCTCCAGCCAGATTACTCAAATACTCAAATACTCATGGGCCTGTGGTTGAAGCATGGGGAGCAGGAGGCCAAACGTTTTGGTCTCGTGAGTGATGGAACCAAGCTGCTGGTAAGCGCCATCGCTGCCTTTTGGAAGCTGGATCCCGCGGCTCTGTATTGGCGACGATGTGCTGCTCGCGGATGCAACTGGAACCTCCATCTTCGACGTGGAATCCATCCGGAGCTGGGCCCGCTTGTTGAGACGACTGTCGTCAGAGCTGAGCCCCCGACAGTTCCACGTAATGACCGAGAGCGTTGTCATACTTCCAGGAGAAGATGCAGACGGCAGTCAGGAGTGGCCTGGGCGACGGCAGCTCCAAAGACCTCTGGGACGAGCCGCAAGCTGGAGGCATCGCGGCAGCTGGACGACGAGTTCCGCCAGGTGTTCTTCAAGGCGGAGGGAGCGATCCACGCTTACCACAACCGGGTAAGGGAAGCAGCCGACGATATCCGGGTGCTCGAGGCCGAGGCGAGCCAGTTCATCGGCTGGTTCTATCACGTGGATCGCCAGGACGACGAGCTCGACGCCGCAAATGCGTCACGAGCTAGGAGGAATCCGATGGCAAGCGCTACGTTGTGTGCGTGGAAAGCTCAGGTATGACAAGAGGAGGTCCAAGAGCGTAAAGCTGCCAAGTGATGTCGCGGTCATGCTCCTTGTAAATGTAACCCGAGATGTAACCATTGACAAGACCAGGTCATGGAATCTGGATTGTATGACAAAAGTATGGCGGGTAATTCTTGGATTATTCAAACGCCCGCGGGTAATTACTATGCAAACGCCCCCAGATCTGGAGCACGACATCGCGCTCTGATAAAAACCCGATTTTTATATTCCTTTCCTGTTGCATGGCGCGCATCGATTTGCCAGATAGTGCCCTGCACGATCAATCTTCCTCTCGAAGACCCAGGAATGGAGTAGAAGATTCCAGGAGACTGTGTCTCGATCTGGCATGGAGGCATACGCTTGGCACCATCCGCGATGACACAGCATTTGTCTCGGGCATGGCTGCAATTTGCAGACACAGATGGGCAATAGTTTGCCCATTTCGGGCATACGCAAGAAGCTCACTCGGCATTCAATAAAAACATAGAGCTGCGAAGATAACAAGCCCATCTTCCAAATAGGCCTGAAGCATCGTTGTCCACGCTCGATCATTTTCCTCGCGGAGGCAAGATCTGGCGCTCCGAAGAACAATCGCTCAGCCTCGCCCGAATCTCCATCCTGAATGCTGGCACCGATTCAAGTTCGCCAAACTCCAAACGCCAAACGCCAAACGCGTTCGTGAACGTTCGGCTCCAGGACCAAAAGCGTTTGCGAACGGCCGAACGCGTTCGCAAACGTTCCAAACACGTTCGGCTGAAACCTGCAAAGTTTTGTGCGTCGTAGGCAAAGGATGGCTATGTCTTAGCTCCACCTTGACGTTCCTTATCATCTGGATTACCGGAGTGTTTTTGAGCTCGAATTTTTTGTGCGTGGTAAATGTTCGAGGAGATGAGCGAGAAGAACCTCTTTTCGTGGACAGTGATGCTTCATATCTATTCGGAAGATGGGCATGTCACCTTTGCAAAGATGGTCTGCCGAACGAGGCAAAGATTTTATTGAAATCTGGTCTTTTGGAACATCATTTGCTCGCAGAGATAAATCGCAAAATGCCGCCTTATTGTCTTTCCAAAGATGGTCTGCCGGAGAGGAATGTAGTGGGCAATACTTGCTTTGAAACCTGGTCTTCTGGAACATCATTTTCCATGCAAAACAAAAGCTCGCAAGGCAAAAGAGAGATTTTTCGGCGAGCTTAATATGTGGTGTCGCTTGGCCTTCACGTAGGCGTCACCAGCCTTCACCATTCCACACATTTTGGCGTCGAGCTCCTCGTCCCAATGAACTCGCTCATCAATTCCTGGGAACATTCTTCCTGGCATTTCGGACAGACGATGCTGGAGCCCGAAGACAATCCTGTGAGATTTCCCCTTGCCGGAGAAGGCATTGCCATGGAAATCGAAACGGAGAGCGCCTGATTTCGGCGCCCTACACTAGAAGAATATTCGAGGAGGTAGTTGAAAATCCAATATTTACATTGAGTTAGAAAGTAAGAAAATAAAAGTTACCAGGAAGACAAAAAAACCCTACATTGCATCAAAACTGGCAAACATTTTGCAGCAATGAAATACGCATAGGCAACAGGTCACCTGCATTCACAGACCACCAAAACTATCACACGATCAAATCTAAGAGATCTCAGCGACAGAGAAAAGAAATGGAAGAACATACCACGTACAGCAGCGTGATCATTTCCCTGGAAAACCACGGACGAAGTTTCAGCTCGATCTGGAAGAAAAGAAATCGACTTTTTTTCTGTGTTTGCCTACCTCCTCCTCCTCCTCCTCCTCCTGGAGTGCCGAGCTCGCCACCGGCAACATAGTCTTCGTCCTCCTCGCTGGATCCATTGCCAGGATCATCGCAATGGACGGGCTGCTGGATCGTCCGCCGGCGCGTCCTTGTGGGAAGAATGTTGTTCAAGTCCACCTCCTCCAGCGCATCGGCGTCCCTGAGCGCTGCCATGTTTGCCTTGAGGAACTCGTCCTCGTCCACGCCCACTTCGCTATCGTCGCTGCTACTGTCCTCCTCCTGGACGATCGCCTTGCCTTTGCCTTTGTAGTCCTGCGGAGGAGCCGCCGCCGCCGCCGCCGCCTTGTTCTTCCCCTTGTCCAGGACGATCCCCTTCTCTATCCTTCTCGGGCGATTTTGAGCGCCCGATAGCTGGAGCTCCACATCGCTGTAGTCGTCCTCGTCCGTGTAATCCCCTTCTTCCCCATCATCGTCCTCTTCGTCGCTCTCGGTCTCATCTACAAACTCCTCCTCTTCCTCCTCCTCTACATCCGACCGCAGTCCATCCTCCTCCTCCCCGAAATCTTCCACGGCCGCTGCGCTGCCCCGGCTGGCATTCACAACCTCGGCGGTCGCGAATTCCTCGTCCCTGATGCTTACCCCATTCTCCTGCGCCTGGTGCTTGATCCCTGGCGATGGCCGCGACGCCGCCGCGAGCGGCTCATCGAAGAGCTCCGTCGCGCGTAATCTCTTGCCTCCAGCAGCAGCGTCGCCGGCGATCTCATCGCGCGCTCTTCTCTTCACCTCTGCCATCGCCAGGGCGGCCTCTCCTCCACTTCCATCCGCCATTTTTTTTACTAGGGCTTTCTTCACGCAGATCTAGAGCTCGATTCCGGGGAGTGGCGGAAAAAAATATTTTAGGGTTTATCGATGGAGCAGCTCGTCACACAGGTCCAAGGGCTGTCTGGAAGCGCGGATGATCTCGGCCAGCTTCTCGTCCTCCTGCGCCAGAACGATGACGCGATGCGATCCCAGGGCGCGCGATTGCAGCCGGCGCTCCACGCCTTGGATCCTGCCAAGCATTCCCTCGGCTTCCTTTTCATTCTGTAAGTTTCGATTGTTTCTTTGAGACAAAGAGAGACCTTTTCTGTAATCAGGGATGGGAGATGGTCTGCCGGGCCCTCGAGAGAGGAGGCCGAGAATTTCCTCATGTCCGTGACGAACTTTATCACGGTTTGTTCGCCCGAGCAGATTCGCTACTGCCCGGATAAATGTGAGTTCTCCTTCTTTCTTTGTTTTCTCTTGTTCTTGGAGAATCAAAGAACTTGTTAGCTCATGGTGTTTTCTGTGGTGCTATAGTCAATTCCCTGTGCCGGAAGCTAAGGGAACACGCGATGAACATGCACAGGCCCATTCGTGCTGTTCTTCCACTCCAAGTCGCCATCAGGAAGTTCCAGCCATCCTCCGAGTACTTGACGCCCATTCATGCGGATTTTTTGCTCGTGTGTTTGCTCTCCAAGTGCTACAAGGCTGCTGCTCCGATCCTGGAGGACCAGATCTTTGAGATAGACCCCAAGAAGACCGGGCTTGTTCCCAAAGACTACTTGCTCTACTGCTACTACGGGTACGTGGTCTTCGATTTCCTTTTCTCATTTCTTGCAGTAAACTTACTCTTACTTCCAGCGGCATGGTACAAATCGGCTTGAAGAATTTCTTGCGAGCCATGGAGTTACTGCAGCATGTAAGAGATTCTTAATCAGCCAGACACGGTCTTATTTTTATTTGTTTCACTTGGTAGGCCTTCACAGCTCCTGCTCACGTGATGAATGCCATAGCAGTGGAGGCATACAAGAAGTACGTACTGGTGTGCCTGATTCACAACGGTCAGGTAATTCTGTGGCCTTTGCCGTCTACGTTTGTGAAGTAACAAGAAATCCTCGTAGGTGCCTCCCTTCCCAAAGTACACGCCCTCCATCGTCCAGAGGAATTTGAAAGGATGCTGTCAGGTAGCTTGAAGTTTCCACAGTCAGTATTTTACATTCCTCGCAAACTTGCAGGGCTATATAGAGTTGGTTACTGTGTACAACAATCGCAACATCACGGATCTCCAACGCTGCCTTACCAGTCACGAAGAAGCCTTTAGAAATGTAAGAAGAGAAAACTCTCGACCTCTTTTAACTTGTTACGCACAGGACAAGAACTTGGGTTTGGCGAAGCAAGTGGTGGCATCCCTTTACAAGAGGAACATACAAAGACTTACTCAAACGTACCTCACCCTGTCTTTACAAGACATCGCACAGACTGTTCAGCTGGAGAGCGCCAAGGATGCCGAGCTGCACGTCCTTCAAATGGTTTGAGCCCCATGTCATCGTTCTTTTACACTCGTTCATACCTGGTGCTGTCTTACAGATACAAGATGGAGAGATTTTTGCCACTATAAATCAAAAGGATGGGATGGTTCGCTTCCAAGAGGACTCGGAGCAGTACAAGACGCGGGAGATGAGCCAGCGTCTTCATTCCGAAATCCAGAAGTAAGCTCTTCCCTTTCCATTGCAAGTAAGAAGTTGAATGCGTTGCTATTCCTTGCCGCAGGGTGATCAGGCTAGCGAAGAAGCTGACGGCTGTAGACGAGCAAGTGTCTTGTGATCAGGCCTTCCTCAGCAAAGTAAGCTATGAATCAAATCTCCTCGTTTGTGTTGTGCTAACAAGCTTCCTTCTCGCGAGTTATTTTCCAGGTAGGAAGAGAACGGACGCGCTATGACAGTGACGACTTTGAGCTGGTGCCACAAAAGGCCTTCTCTAATTTTTAGGCAGAAATTGTAATCGATCAAATCTAATGGTTTCTTAGCTCCATACTCGAAGCACAGGCCTTGACGTTCCCGCAGTTCATCCTAATCGAGAGTGCTTCATAGCTAACGAGTGGTATCTCTGTTTCTTTTTCTTCGTGGAATGTAGAAAAGGCCATATGCAAGGGCACGATGTTTGCAACTGCGGGGCGTTTCAGGACACTACATCTGCGTGCCCTGAAATGGTTTTAGTTGACGAACAGTATGTCTTAAGTCTCTAGAGTTCAGGCATGAAGAAGCGACAGATCTTACTGGTAACGGCAGTCACTACAAACGGTGGGAAAACTTTTATCAGAAAATGAGAGAAGAAACTTGATTCGATCACCTTCAATTTGCGGAGGGGTGACGTTCTCGTTGTCGATGCTGATGAGCTCTTGTCCAACGCGTCCCGTAGAAACAACATCTTTTGAAGGTATGGACAATGTCAAGAATAGAATAATCTCCAAATGTGACAATTGTTTTATGAAAATGCAGTATATCCTATTGTCTCAAGGATTCCACGGCGATGGCGCTCGACAAGATCACGTATGGCGCTCCACTCCGGGGCACCACATTCTCCGCCGCTCCCTCCAATCCAGCCGCCATGGAATACAAGGCAGCTATAGTGTTCTTTTCCCGGATCGAGGCCGAATCCCCAGGAAGAATTGAGTCCTAAAGCGTGGATCCATCGGGCTTGATCCCTATCGAGCGCGTCTACCAATCCCGCGAGGGCGAAGGATTCGATCACGGTGTTCCAGGCAGCTTAACCGAACAATTGTACCATCTGCTTTGAAGTAGTTCTTGTGCTGCACCTAAGTGTGTAAGTTGACTGACAAGGATCATAATAGTAGGAACATACCCTCCATTCAATAGCTGGGAAGCCAATCTTGCCTTCGACGGTATTGTAGTACATGCAATTCACCTCCACCCCGGCCCTGCAATCTGCTGACAAACAAAATCACTCCAAATGCCTCAACAAGCTTGCTTACCTTCGGCGATGGATTCCGGCACTCCTTTAAAGAAGCGCCCAAAGTCTCCCTTGGTGATGGGAAAATTGTATGGCGGCTTTAGTTTCTTGGACCTCCTCTTGTCATTCCTGAGCTTCCCAAATCCCACCACCACGCCCGTCAAGCTACCCCTGGGAGTCATCACTGGCGCTCCACACTCGATCTTTGCCCCGTCGCATGACAGCATGATATGACGGTAAGGAGGGAATTGACAGCTCGTCTCGTACTCCAAGAGATCCTCAAATCGTCCGCCATCGCCTCCCACCGATGTTCCGGCCACGAGCAGCGGCTTCTTGTTCCCGTCATGGTCCCACGACGCCGACACCACCGTCAGCCACGGCCCTGGCATCGGCGCCACCACCGCGCAGGCCGAGAAGCTCTGGGAGCATCCCTGCGCGGGAGTTAAAACTCCCACTCCACCCGCCACCTCTGACACGCACTCGTATCGCCTCCCGTCCACGCACACAACGTAGCGCTTGCCATCGGATTCCTCCTCCGCCTTCTTCTTCATGCAAGCGTAGCTCGTGACGCAAGTTCCATCCGGCCTCACCAGCGTCACCATTCCACACCTGTTTGTGGCGTCGAGCTCTTCGTCATCCTGGCGACCCACGCGATAGAACCACTTGCCCGGATATCGTCGGCTGCTTCCCTTACCCGGTTGTGGTAAGCGTGGATAGCTCCCTCGGCCTTGAAGAACACCTGGCGGAACTCTTCGTCCAGCTGCCGCGATGCCTCGAGCCGCTTGCGGCTCATCTCTGCCCAATTTGGTATTTGTATTTCTTCTTCTTCTTGAGCGATGATGGCTGCGTCTTTGGAGCTGCCATCGCCCAGGCCACTCCTGACTGCCGTCTGCCGGATGGATTCCACGTCGAAGATGGAGGTTCCAGTTGCATCCGCGAGCAGCACATCGTCGCCAATACACAGAGTCGCGGGATCCAGCTTCCAAAACGCAGCGATAGCCCTTACCGGCAGCTTGGTTCCATCGCCCACGAGGCCAAAACCTTCGCCATGCTTCAACCACAGGCCCATTCTATACCCTAGGCTGGAAGAGAACGTATTGAAAAGGTTCGAGTACAGAACTTGGATGTTAGTTAAGTTGAAGAAAGGTGAGAGAGATCTAAACAACCTGGAATTTTCTAGCATAAAAAGGTGCTGGGACCTCGGATTGGAAATCCGCCATCTCCGAAGAACAATCGCTCGGCCGCGCCCAAATATCCACCCTGAATGCTGGCACATCAGAAACTAGTTCGCTCCAGGGCCGAGGGCGTTGCGCGTCGATGGCGGTGAAGGCTAGAAAGAAGGAAGAATCACGCGATCAAGGATGGATAGGGAGAATCTCGAAAACGAGCCGGACGAGTCACTCGCCATGCCTCGAAGTTTTTCAGAAGTGTCGGCTGAGTCTCCCTTGCACAAATTCAGCATGGAGCCCGAGTGGAATGCTTGGCTTGACGATTAAAACGGTTGGACGATTTGTCATGCCAGCGCCCTTGCCATTTTCATACGAACAACCCACCGATGGAAAGAGAGATTTCTCGGAGTTACAAACCAAATGGAAACTTACCAGCATACATTTGTTGCGATCTTTGTCTCGGATAAACTCGGACGCCGTTCTACACGCCTCCAACACGATCCCCATCCTTAGAACGCCGGTGTTAAGGCACTGTCATAAGGTACGGTATTCACCTTGTTTGCTTCGTGTTTGTTTGCCTGTGCTTGCCGGATTTCTTGAGCTCGACCAGGCTGCCAAGGCTCGTTTGATCTGGACTGGGCCCATGCACTTGCGGTATCTCCTGATCACTCGTAGAAGCGGTTGGAAACCCCACTTCCAAGCCTTAGGTTTGCTGCGCCCGATAGCAGCAGAACCGAAAGGTGGCAAATGAACGAAGTAGGTTGTGTGGTGGCCTCGGGTGTTGGATCGCCATGAAACCATTCAGATTTGAGTCTTCCTTGATAAACCGACTGATCATGTGAGGTTTCATACAATTCTCATCGTCTTCCACGGGGCCAAACGACTTTGTTTGACGATGAAACTACTGAGTTCTCTGAGATACATTTCTCTTGAGTTTAGAGCCTTAAAATGGAAAAATTCTTGTACCGCAGCGATAGATTTTCAGCAACACATGCATTCTCAGTTAAAGATAGCCAAGGGGAATATAAAGAAGATACCGCTCGGGCGCTCTTTCTCTTCTCGCTCTCGGGCAATGGCAGCTTGCCCTCGCTAAAATTCTTCGAGCAGTGCAGAGCTTTCTAGCATTTTTCCCCGCGAAGAATGGAATGACGCGACCGATCCAGCCGCCAGATTTCTCTCGAAATCAGGTAAGCGAGCTTCCGCAAGAGGATTCCAAAAAATTCTTCCGAGTGGCTCGAGAGCATCGATCTAGTGATGTTTTTGTCGGAAACACGTCGGTGGATATGTACACTAAGTGTGGGAGCATGGCCGATGCTCGCAGAGCTTTTGAGAAGATCATCTCTCCAAACACGGTCTCCTGGAACGCTCTAGTGCTGGGATATGCAACGAACCTCGAAGAAGAAGTGGCCTTTGAGGTTTCTCTCGATTTCTCTCGACTCGGCTCCAACCGGATCATCTGAGTTTTGTGGCAGTTCTCAAGGCTTGCAGTAGAAAGAAGTGAGGCTCGTCAAAGCTTTTGCTTTGGAGAAAGGCATGGCTGTTCATGCCTAGGCGGCGAGAAGAGGACTTGACACCAGCCTGGTCATGGCCAGCATGCGTACTCTGTGGGAGCCCAGAGGATCGACAAACTGGAGTCATGCAACGTCGTTCTTTGGCGGTCTTAGCTCTGTAAACAGCTTCCGTCAGATCTTCTTCGCCATTTTCTGCGTATCCCAGCATGAGCGCTGTCCAGAGCGAGAAACTGCCGACCAAATGCTCGGAGCTTTCTTGCTGCATCGAAAGCTTGCACCGGCCTCGCAGCGAAAGAAGAAATCCAGCACCAATCAAGTTCAGATAAACTCTATGGACCGTGCAGTCGGAAGCTATCAGGTATGGCTGCTGCGACTTCTTCCTCACGAACAACTTGGTGGACATGTACGCAGGCCGCCCTTCGATGGAATGGAGCGGCGTCCTGGCGGGATACGTTGAAAATAGTGAAGGTGAAAAAGGCTTGCGAGCTCTTTGATCCAATGCGACATGAAGGATGCCATCTGAACTCGGCCTCGTTCGTCGCAGCACTGGGAGCCTGCCGGGACGGAGTTTCGATCGAAACCGGCACCTTCCACGCTGATTCTTGTGTAGAGTGCGAGACACAGGTCGGCAGCAAACTCGTGGACTTGTACTTGGCGTCCGGGATGGTGTCCAGAGCTCACGAGGTATTTCGATTCGCTTCCAGAGAGGAACTTGGTAACTTGATGTCGCTACTGGCAGGATATAGTCACGCCGGGACAGGTTTTCCATCTCTTTGGTGGGATGATGGACGACGGCCTCCTGGCGGACAGTGTGACGATGCTTGTAGCCATGCCGGGCTCGTGGAGAGGGGCCGTGAGCTTCTGAAGTCGATGAGCTCCAGGTATGGAACGAGTCCTGGAGTGGAGCACAACGAATGCATGGCCGATTTGCTGGACGCTGCGAGAGAGAAGGCGTCAACATTAACAACCTGTAATCAGAACGAAGGCCTATTAGCTCAGTGGGTCATAGCGTGGTGCTAAAAACCGCAAGCTGAAAACCTCCATGGGCCAAAACAGAAGTATAGAACACAGGTTCGAGACCTGCATGCCAAAACACGTTTGATTTATCTTATTGACTTCTGTGAAGATCATTTGGAATTTGAATAGAAATCATCTTATTGTGCAGAATTTACTTGGTCTTCTTTTGTAACTTGTTATTTCTTACTAAATGGACATAGCATGTACGAGGTATCCATCTTTCACGGATGGCATTGGCCAGTAGCTTGTTGTACTGTTTGGATTGACAGGCTCCCATCTTCAATCAAAGATTACAATTTGTTGACAAGAAAAGAGGAGCAAGAGAATTTACCTGTATTTTGTGATAAGCCTGTGTATGAAAATCATTTGCTCTAACTGACTTAATGCTCTTCCTGGGCATATTCTATCTCCATAGCCAAATGGAATAAATGTGCCAGTTTTAGCTGGAACCTAAAATAAAAGGTTTGGTTAAGTATAAACATGAAAAATACCATACTTCAAATCTGGATGGATTAAATTTTGCTGCATTGGGGTAAATGCTGTCATCTAAGTGAATTGGTGGCATATAGACATGAATCATCCAATCTTTGGGCAAGGTGTAACCTTGTTAACACCAACAAAGTAGACAAACAATTGGAATTAGCTTCAATCATATGTAATAAAACCTTTGTAGCTGATATCCTTAGTGATTTTACGTGTCACCACCCCCACAACATTAGAAAGCCTCAGACTTTCATGGACAGCCTGCAAAACCACGGCAATTAAATCTAACATAAAATTGGAGTTTAGTCCACAACCCTTAGAGTGGCTGGCATCTGTCTTGTGTCTTCCCAAGTTAAGCTATACTTGGTGGATCTTTTACCAAGAAGTATTCTCCTTTGCTCCTCCTAGAATCAAAACAGTTTTAAAAAAAATCATAATAATAATAATAATAATAATAATAATAATAATAACCTCCACTTCCTTGAAAGCTTGTGGGTTCTCATTCAAGTGTTTGATCAGCCACATGAGAGCGAGAGCTGTGGTGTGGTGGCCTCCGAACAGCATTGTCATGAGATTGTCTTCCACTTGTTGATTCGAGAGGAATCCAACCTTGTCATCTTTGTGTGTAATAAACTCGTCCAGCGCGTCTTTGTCCGTTTCACCATTGGCAGCTAGTTCGGCCCTTCTCTCGTTGATGAGCCCATCCAAGAATCTGTGCAGCCTTGCCCTGGCCTGCTCAATTACAACAATAGATCCAGAATTAAAAGATAAAAAAATCACGCAAAAACCTGTAACGCTTTGCGATAAGGTGAGAAGGGTAAGTTGATTGGAAACTGGAGCACCCCATTCTCTATCGTTTGGACGTCTCGCATGAGATCGATCATCTCCGGAGTGGAGGGCAGGAGTTTCTGGCACACTAATCCAATCACCGTGCAGTAGCTAAACTGGCAAGAGTATAAAACCAGATCAAACGATCAAGCGACACAAAGACGTGATGAAAACCTTGACAGTTTCTTCCATAACCGACACCGTCTTTTTCGACCCCCACGACTCGAGAGTCTCCTGAGCCAAGATATCAATCATTTGGACGTGGCACTTGAGCGTCTCTGGAACCATCATCCCCAGAATGATTCTCCGGTAGAGCGCATGCTCACTCCCGATGACCTCGCTTGCAGATTTTGGCCCAATCAATCGGGCAAACAAACCCGAGGGGCCACAGTCAGCGCAGCTGAGGAAGAACTTGGCCGACCCTACCGTTGTTGCAACGATGGTGGGAGATCCAAGCAAGTTACTCCAGAAAACTCCTCCAAATCTGTAAAATGATCACAGTTAGTTAAAGCAAGATCGAAGCGAAAGAACCGTTTGCGTCGAGTGCTGAGGAAGTCTAGAGGGGATCCCCAAAAGAGAGAGAGAGATTCTCCGACAAGAGGCAAGCCATGGCTTCCTGGCGGGAGCTTGATCGTGGATGATTTGTAGAACTTTTGGGAGATTAGCCACAAAGAGAGTAGAAACACGAGAAAGTACAGAGCATTCCAGGACTGCAGGAAAAGCTCCATGCTGCGAGAAGGAACGAAGCACTCACTGCACAAGTTTGAGATTAACCTCTCGAATATATCCTGCACAAACCAGACTTCAGTTGGCTTCTTTCGAAAGGTTGTTGTGAGTTTTTTTAAAGTCTTACTTCTGACTTTTTTGTTCGTATTATTCTGAGGACTCAGTCTTTGTGCTAACAGCCATTAATGTTCATCATGTACAAGGTAAGCTTCCATACAACGTTTACTAGTCAATTGTCACATTTGGAGAAATAGTCTAAGTCTTATTTCTCTCTTTTTTTTAATGGAAAATTTAAAGTATTAATCTGAGGACTCAGTCTTTGTGCTAACAGCCATTAATGTTCATGATGTACAAGTTAAGCTTCCATACAAAATTTACTAGTCAATTGTCACATTTGGAGAAATAGTCCCATTAGGTCCCCTCTGATATGATGTTTATCGAATTGTTCTCGTCCTTGGAATCGAGCTCCAGATCTGAGAGCTGGTCAAACAATGGAGCTGAAGAAAATTTTGTTCAAGCTCTAGGGCTCCTCGCTCCCGCGATGGTGCCGCTCGGGAGCGAGCGATTGCTGAGCTGTGTTTGGATTTCCAATCGCCCGGGCCGCCAGTCGGTTCTCGCAGCTGCTGCCGCGCGCAGGGGCATTGGCGCCGGAATCAGACGCTCCTCTTCGATTTCCACCGTCTCGAAGACGAAATCTCACAGCATTGTGTTCGGGACCCAGGAATCCGGGGCCCGGGATCACGGCAGAGCCTTCGTCCACATCGTGCCTTCGGAGGACGCTCACCAGGTACTTGCGTCTTCCTTGAGAAAGAGGAAAAGGAGTCTAGGAATTTTTTTTCTTGTTTCCTCTTTTCTTTTTTGTAAGTAGCTCACTGCTGCGTATGCAGAGTGAATTTATAGCCGAGTGCTTCACGCGACGAGCTTACGTTTCAGGATTCACGGGAAGCGCAGGAACTGCTGTGATCACCTTGGAGAAGGCTGCGCTTTGGACGGATGGTCGATACTATCTTCAGGTGATTGATTCAACTTCATGCTTTCTCCTGTTCTTTTCGTGAGCATTTTTCTAACCAAAGTTATATTTGTTTTTTATCTTTTGCCGGTCATTGCATGATTGGCATCTTTGCGGGGAATGCTTCACCTTGATTTATATGTTGATGTAGGAAACTCAAGGTGATGAGATTGCAACTTGGATTGGAAAATACTTTCTGAATTGATGCTTCTTAACTTTTAGGTCAGATAGCAGTTTAGCAAAACTCTCAGTGATTAACAATTGTCCTGACTCAACCAGGATGATTTATCCATTATTGATCACTGGTGTATTGATGGAAGGCATCATGGTCTTTCCAGGTAAGGCTTGAGTTTCTAAAGAGAAAAGCCAGTGACTAAGCATTTGAGGGCAGTGATGTGTACACAAGATGAATGTCTGAGAATGCGGACTTGATCCGGCCCAGCCTATGGTAAAGAGCAGGCCAACGTTTGGATGGAAAGCTGTGTTTATTTTGTTCGCGGAGATGTATAAGTCTGGCAACGGGCAGCAGTGGCTCCTTCCACAGCTCACCTAGGCGAGCTGAGAAAGACTTCGCTTGATTCGATACCACCACCGTGCTCAAGAACATCTACACTCTCTTTTGCCAGTCTGAGGTACTATGCATGATTGCGTGATTGATTGAATTGCTGTAGGCTGTGAGGCTTCAGGAAAGAACATCACCAAGAACAATCGCTCGGCCTCACCAGAATCTCCATCCTGACTGCTGGCACCCATTCAAGTATAATAGTTTGCGAAGGTTCGGCTCCAAGACCAAACGCGTTTCAAACGGTTCCAAACATGTTCAGCTGAAACCTGCAAAGGTTTGTGCGAGGATGGCTATGTCTTAGCTCCACCTTGACGTTCCTTATCATCTGGATCACCGGAGTGTTTTTGAGCTCGAATTTTTGCGAGGTAAACGTTCGAGGAGATGAGACATGTCACCTTTGTAAAGATGGTCTGCCAGGAACGAGGCAAAGATTTTATTGAAATCTGGTCTTTTGGAATATCATTTGCTCCCAGAGATAAATTTCAAAATGCCAGCTTATTATCTTTCCAAAGATGGTCTGTTACGGAGGAATGTTGGCATCTGCTTTGAAACCTGGCCTTTTGGAGCATCATCCATGCAAAACAAAAGCTCGCGAGGCAAAAGAGAGATTTTTTGGCGAGCCTAATATGTGGTGTGGCTTGGCCTTCATGCAAGTCACCAGCCCTCACCATTCCACACACTTTGGCGTCGAGCTCCTCGTCCCAATGAAGTCCCGGTGCATGGCACGAATCGATTTGCCAGATAGCGCCCTGCACGATCAATTGGATCATTTCCTCCCGAAGGCCCAGGATTGGAGGAGAAGATTCCAGGAGACTGTGGCGGCAGGGCCCCTGCGCGAGGCAGCAGCTGAGAGAATCGAATGCCGGCGAGGATAGGAAGAATACATTAGAAGAATATTCGATGTGCGTGAAAATCCAGAAAGTAAGAAAAGAAAAGTTACCAGGAAGACAAAAAGCGCTACATTGCATCAAAACTGGCAAACATTTTGCAGCAATGAAATATGCATAGGTAACAAGTCACCTGCATTCACAGACCATCAAAACTATCACACGATAAAATCTAAGAGATCCCAGCGACAGAGAAAAGAATGGAAGAAGATACCACGTACAGCAGCGTGATCATTTCCCTGGAAAACCACGGACGAAGTCGATCTGGAAGAAAAGAAATCGATTTTTTTTCTGTGTTTGCCTACCTCCTCCTCCTGGAGTGCCGAGCTCGCCACCGGCAACATAGTCTTCGTCCTCGCTGGATCCATTGCCAGGATCATCGCAATGGACGGGGCTGCTGGATCGTCCGCCGGCGCGTTTTATTCATATACGATATCTTTCAAATATTATTCTTTTATGAAAATCATCCTATGCAGTATATCCTATTGTTTCAAGGATTCCACGGCGATGGCGCTCGACAAGATCACGTATGGCGCTCCACTCCGGGGCACCACATTCTCCGCCGCTCCCTCCAATCCAGCCGCCATGGAATACAAGGCAGCTATAGTGTTCTTTCCCCGGATCGAGGCCGAAATCCCCAGGAAGAATTGAGTCCCAAAGCGTGGATCCATCGGGCTTGATCCCTATCGAGCGCGACCTTGCGCCGCTCTACCAATCCCGCGAGGGCGAAGGATTCGATCACGGTGTTCCACGCAGCTTAACCGAACAATTGTACCATCTGCTTTGAAGTAGTTCTTGTGCTGCACGTAAGTGTGTAAGTTGACTGACAAGGATCATAATAGTAGAAACATACCCTCCATTCGATAGCTGGGAAGCTAATCTTGCATTCGACGGTATTGTAGTACACCAAGCAACTCACCTCCACCCCGACCCTGCAATCTGCTGACAAACAAAATCACTCCAAATGCCTCAACAAGCTTGCTTACCTTTGGCGATGGATTCCGGCACTCCTTCCAAGAAGGGCCCAAAGTCTCCCTTGGTGATGGGAAAATTGTATGGCGGCTTTAGTTTCTTGGACCTCCTCTTGTCATTCCTGAGCTTCCCAAATCCCACCACCACGCCCGTCAAGCTACCCCTGGGAGTCATCACTGGCGCTCCACACTCGATCCTGGCCCCCACGGCCCTGGCATCGGCGCCACCACCGCGCAGGCCGAGAAGCTCTGGGAGCATCCCTGCGCGGGAGTTAAAACTCCCACTCCACCCGCCACCTCTGACACGCACTCGTATCGCCTCCCGTCCACGCACACAACGTAGCGCTTGCCATCGGATTCCTCCTCCGCCTTCTTCTTCATGCAAGCGTAGCTCGTGACGCAAGTTCCATCCGGCCTCACCAGCGTCACCATTCCGCACCTGTTTGTGGCGTCGAGCTCCTCGTCATCCTGGCGACCCACGCGATAGAACCAGCCGATGAACTTGCTCGCCTCGGCCTCGAGCACCCGGATATCGTCGGCTGCTTCCTTTACCCGGTTGTGGTAAGCGTGGATAGCTCCCTCGGCCTTGAAGAACACCCGGCGGAACTCTTCGTCCAGCTGCCGCGATGCCTCGAGCCGCTTGCGGCTCATCTCTGCCCAATTTGGTATTTGTACTTCTTCTTCTTCAGCAGTGATGGGCATGGCTGCGTCTTTGGAGCTGCCATCGCCCAGGCCACTCCTGACTGCCGTCTGCCGGTGGATTCCACGTCGAAGATGGAGGTTCCAGTTGCATCCGCGAGCAGCACACCGTCGCCAATACACAGAGTCGCGGGATCCGGCTTCCAAAACGCAGCGATAGCCCTGGTTCCATCGCCCACGAGGCCATCCAGGCCCATTATATAACCTACTTTCTATGCTAGAAAATTCCAGGTTGTTTAGATCTCTCTCACCTTTCAATGCTCTTCCTTCCACCGCCGCCTCGTCCAATGCTGGGGCAGGAAATCTCTCCTCGGATTGGAAATCCGCCATCTCAGAACAATCGCTCGGCCGCGCCCAAATATCCAGCCTGAATGCTGGCACATCAGGAACTAGTTCGCTCCAGGGCCGAGGGCGTTGCGCGTCGATGGCGGTGGAGGCTAGAAAGAAGGAAGAATCACGCGATCAAGGATGGATAGGGAGAATCTCAAAAACGAGCCGGACGAATCACTCGCCATGCCTCGAAGTTTTTCAGAAGTGTCGGCTGGGTCTTCCTTGCAGCATGGAGCCCGAGTGGAATGCTTGGCTTGACGATTAAAACGGTACGTTCCCATGGATGATATTGTCATGCCAGTGCCCTTGCCATTTGCATACGAACAACCCACCGATGGAAAGAGAGATTTCTCGGAGTTACAAACCAAATGGAAACTTACCAGCATACATTTGTTGCGATCTTTGTCTCGGATAAACTCGGACGCCGTTCTACACGCCTCCAACACGATCCCCATCCTTAGAACGCCGGTGTTAAGGCACTGTCATAAGGTAACGGTATTCACCTTGTTTGCTTCGTGTTTGTTTGCCTGTGCTTGCCGGATTTCTCGAGCTCGACCAGGTTGCCGAGGCTCGTTTGGTCCGGACTGGGCCCATGCACTCGTGGTATCTCCTGATCACTCGTAGAAGCGGTTGGAAATCCCACTTCCAAGCCTTAGGTTTCCTGCGCCCGATAGCAGCAGAACCGAAAGGTGGCAAATGAACGAAGTAGGTTGTGTGGTGGCCTCGGGTGTTGGATCGCCATGAAACCATTCAGATTTGAGTCTTCCTTGATAAACCGACTGACCATGTGAGGTTTCTTACAATTCTCATCGTCTTCCACGGGGTCAAACGACTTTGTTTGACGATGAAACTACTGAGTTCTCTGAGATACGTTTCTCTTGAGTTTAGAGCCTTAAAATGGAAAAATGCTTGTACCGCAGCGATAGATTTTCAGCAACATCGATTCCTGAAACGCATGCATTCTCAGTTAAAGATAGCTAAGGGGAATACAAAGAAGATACCGCTCGGGCGCTCTTTCTCTTCTTGCTCTCGGGCAATGGCAGCTTGCTCTCGCTAAAATTCTTCGAGCAGTGCAGAGCTTTCTAGCATTTTTCCCCGCGAAGAATGGAATGACGCGACCGATCCAGCCGCCAGATTTCTCTCGAAATCAGGTAAGCGAGCTTCCGCAAGAGGATTCCAGAAATTTCTTCCCAGTAGCTCGAGAGTGATGTTTCTGTTGGAAACACGTCGGTGGATATGTACACTAAGTGTGGGAGCATGGCCGATGCTCGCAGAGCTTTTGAGAAGATCATCTCTCCAAACACGGTCTCCCTAGTGCTGGGATATGCAACGAACCTCGAAGAAGAAGTGGCCTTTGAGGTTTTCTCTCGATGTCTCTCGACTCGGCTCCAACCGGATCATCTGAGTTTTGTGGCAGTTCTCAAGGCTTGCAGTAGAAAGAAGTGAGGCTCATCAAAGCTTTTGCTTTGGAGAAAGGCATGGCTGTTCATGCCTAGGCGGCGAGAAGAGGACTTGACACCAGCCTGCTCATGGCCAGCATGCGTACTCCAAGTGTGGGAGCCCAGAGGATCGACAAACTGGAGTCATGCAACGTCGTTCTTTGGCGGTCTTAGCTCTGTAAACAGCCTCCGTTCCAGATCTTCTTCGCGATTTTCTGCGTATCCCAGCATGAGCGCTGTCCAGAGCGAGAAACTGCCGACCAAATGCTCGGAGCTTTCTTGCTGCATCGAAAGCTTGCACCGGCCTCGCAGCGAAAGAAGAAATCCAGCACCAATCAAGTTCAGATAAACTCTATGGACCGTACAGTCGGAAGCTATCAGGTATGGCTGCTGCGACCTCTTCCTCACGAACAACTTGGTGGACATGTACGCAGGCCGCCCCTTCGATGGAATGGAGCGGCGTCCTGGCGGGATACGTTGAAAATAGTGAAGGTGAAAAAGGCTTGCTCTTTGATCCAATGCGACATGAAGGATGCCATCTGAACTCGGCCTCGTTCGTCGCAGCACTGGGAGCCTGCCGGGACGGAGTTTCGATCGAAACCGGCACCTTCCACGCTGATACTTGTGTAGAGTGCGAGACACAGGTCGGCAGCAAACTCGTGGACTTGGCGTCCGGGATGGTGTCCAGAGCTCACGAGGTATTTCGATTCGCTTCCAGAGAGGAACTTGGTAACTTGGATGTCGCTGGCAGGAAATAGTCACGCCGGGAGAGGTTTTCCATCTCTTTGGTGGGATGATGGACGAGGGCCTCCTGGCGGGATGCTTGTAGTCATGCCGGGCTCGTGGAGAGGGGCCGTGAGCTTCTGAAGTCGATGAGCTCCAGGTATGGAACGAGTCCTGGAGTGGAGCACAACGAATGCATGGCCGATTTGCTGGACGCTGCGAGAGAGAAGGCGTCAACATTTGTAATCAGAACAAAGGCCTATTAGCTTAGTGGGTCATAGCGTGCCGCTAAAAACCGCAAGTTGGAAACCTGCATGGGCCAAAACAGAAGTATAGAAATAGGTTCGAGACCTGCATGCGCAAACACGTTTGATTTATCTTATTGACTTCTGTGAAGATCATTTGGAATTTGAATAGAAATCATCTTATTGTGCAGAATTTACTTGGTCTAACCCTAAATATCAGTTAAGGCTTATTTTCTTGTTATTTCTTTCTAAATGGACATAGCATGTACGAGGTATCCATCTTTCACGGATGGCATTGGCCAGTAGCTTGTTTTACTGTTTGGATTGACAGGCTCCCATCTTCAATCAAAGATTACAATTTGTTGACAACAGAGGAGCAAGAGAATTTACCTGTATTTTGTGATAAGCCTGTGTATGAAAATCATTTGCTCTAACTGACTTAATGCTCTTCCTGGGCATATTCTATCTCCATAGCCAAATGGAATAAATGTGCCAGTTTTAGCTGGAACCTAAAATAAAAGGTTTGGTTAAGTATAAACATGAAAAATACCATACTTCAAATCTGGATGGATTAAACTTTGCTGCATTGGGGTAAATGCTGTCATCTAAGTGGATTGGTGGCATATAGACATGAATCATCCAATCTTTGGGCAAGGTGTAACCTGTTAACACCAACAAAGTAGACAAACAATTGGAATTAGCTTCAATCATATGTAATAAAACCTTTGTAGCTGATATCCTTAGTGATTTTACGTGTCACCACCCCCACAACATTAGAAAGCCTCAGACTTTCATGAACAGCCTGCAAAACCACTCCAATTAAATCTAACATAAAATTGGAGCTTAGTCCACAACCCTTAGAGTGGCTGGCATCTGTCGTGTGTCTTCCCAAGTTAAGCTGTACTTGGTGGAGCTTTTACCAAGAAGTATTCTCCTTTGCTCCTCCTAGAAATCAAAACAGATTTTTAAAAAATCATAATAATAATAATAACAATAATAATAACCTCCACTTCCTTGAAAGCTTGTGGGTTCTCATTCAAGTGTTTGATCAACCACACGAGAGCAAGAGCTGTGGTGTGGTGGCCTCCGAACAGCATTGTCATGAGATTGTCTCCACTTGTTGATTCGAGAGGAATCCAACCTTGTCATCTTTGTGCATAATAAACTCGTCCAGCGCGTCTTTGTCCGTTTCACCATTGGCAGCTAGTTCGGTCCTTCTCTCGTTGATGAGCCCATCCAAGAATCTGTGCAGCCTTGCCCTGGCCTGCTCAATTACAACAATAGATCCAGAATTAAAAGATAAAAAAGCCACGCAAAAACCTGTAAGGCTTTGCGATAAGGTGAGAAGGGTAAGTCGATTGGAAACTGGAGCACCCCATTCTCTATCGTTTGGACGTCTCGCATGAGATCGATCATCGCCGGAGTGGAGGGCAGGAGTTTCTGGCACACTAATCCAATCACCGTGCAGTAGCTAAACTGGCAAGAGTATAAAACCAGATCAAACGATCAAGCGACACAAAGACGTGATGAAAACCTTGACAGTTTCTTCCATAACCGACACCGTCTTTTTCGACCCCCACGACTCGAGAGTCTCCTGAGCCAAGGTATCAATCATTTGGACGTGGCACTTGAGCGTCTCTGGAACCATCATCCCCAGAAGGATTCTCCGGTAGAGGGCATGCTCACTCCCGATGACCTCGCTTAAAGATTTTGGCCCAATCAATCGGGCAAACAAACCCGAGGGGCCACAGTCAGCGCAGCTGAGGAAGAACTTGGCCGACTCTACCGTTGTTGCAACGATGGTGGGAGATCCAAGCAAGTTACTCCAGAAAACTCCTCCAAATCTGTAAAATGATCACATTTAGTTAAAGTAAAATCGAAGCGAAAGTCACAGAAGAACCGTTTGCGTCGAGTGCTGAGGAAGTCTAGAGGGGATCTCCAAAAGAGAGAGAGAGATTCTCCGACAAGAGGCAAGCCATGGCTTCCTGGCGGGAGCTTGATCGTGGATGATTTGTAGAACTTTCGGGAGATTAGCCACAAAGAGAGTAGAAACACGAGAAAGTACAGAGCAATCCAGGACTGCAGGAAGAGCTCCATGCTGCCAGAAGGAACGAAGCACTCACTGCACAAGTTTAACATTAGCCTCTTGAATATATCTTGCTCAATCCAGACTTCAGTTGACTTCTTTTGAAAGGTTGTTGTGAGTTTTTTAAAGTCTTATTTCTCTCTTTTTCGTTTATGAAAAATTTAAATTATTATTCTGGGGACTCAGTCTTTGTGTTAACAGCCATTAATGTTTAACAAGGTAAGCTTCCATAAAAAATTTACTAGTCAATTGTCACATTTGGAGAAATAGTCTGTTGTGAGTTTTTTAAAAGTCTTATTTCTTAAATTTTTTATGGTGAACATTAATGGCAAAGACTAAGTCCTCAGAATAATACTTAAAAGAAAGCTAGTCAATTGTCACATTTGGAGAAAATAGTCCCATTGATAACATGATGTTTATCGAATTGTTTTCGTCCTTGGAATCGAGCTCCAGATCTGAGAGCTGGTTAAAAAATGGAGGTGAAGAAAAATTTTGTTCAAGCTCTAGGGCTTCTCGCCCTCCCGCGATGGTGCTGCTCGGGAGCGCGTGATTGCTGAGGTGTATTTGGATTTCCAATCGCCCGGGCCGCCATTCGGTTCTCGCAGCTGCTGCCGCGCGCAGGGGCATTGGCGCTGGAATCAGACGCTCCTCTTCGATTTCCATCTCGAAGGCGAAATCCCACAGCATTGTGTTCGGGATCCAGGAATCCGGGGCCCGGGATCACGGCAGAGCCTTCGTCCGTCAGGAATGCGAGGAAGAATGTCAAAGACAAGGAATTTAAGAAGCTGGCGGATTTGAGGAAATTGATGAGCGAATCGGGTGTCCAAGCTTACATCGTGCCTTCGGAGGACGCTCACCAGGTACTTGCGTCTTCCTTGAGAAAGAGAAAAAGGAGTCTAGGATTTTTTTTTCTTGTTTCCTCTTTTCCTTTCTGTAAGTAGCTCACTGCTGCATATGCGGAGTGAATTTATAGCCGAGTGCTTCAGTTATGTTTTTTTTTTTTCTTTTGCCGGTCATTGCATGATTGGTGGCATCTTTGTGGGAATGCTTCACTTTGACTTATATGTTGTTCTTTAACTTTTAGGTTGAAGAGATATGCAGAACCTATGATAGACAAGGATAATTTAGATTCATGTTATTGAGATCGAGAGGGAGTGTTGAGGTATATGCTTTCTATGACATAATGTTACTAGGTTAAAGGTGTGTCTCTTGATCATGTATATATAACTATAATGTTATATATGATTATCCTTTGAGTCATTCTTGTCTATTGTAGCTTCTGTATATCTATTTTATGAAAGAAGAAGAGTGGAAGTTATGATGGACAAGGATGACTCAAAGGATAATCATATATAATATCATAGTTATATATACATAATCAAGAGACATGTCTCTAGCCTACACCTGGATCAATGAAATGGCATGCTTGCCACCTAGGATCATGTCATAGAGAGTGTATACCTCAACACTCCCTCTCGATTTAGATGACATGAATCTAAGATCACTCTCCCTCTGCATCTAAGCACTCTCTCGTATTGATAACATGAATCTGAGATCACTCTCCTTCTGCATCCAAGCACTCTTTCGTATCCATGATAGGAATCTGTCTCCCTCTCAAGAACCTATAACTCTGCCTCCTGGGTTGTCCGATGGCCGCTTATCAAGATCTCCCTTTCAAGAAACACTTGTTTAAACACAGCAAGGATGGACCAAGGAATACCTCTGATCTCTCACCGTCCTCAGTTGAAGCTCCCATCATCTCAACCTCGATCAAGCCTCTTCGGCCAGAGCCCTAACAGCTCTCTTCCTCTGCTACAGAGCCCTCTCACAGCCCAGCACTCAGCATTGCCTCTGCCTGCTTGCCTCTGGACAGCACTCTAACGCTCCATACGTGCTCCTCTATCCAGTCCTAGCACTCCAAGCCCTTGTGCCTCTACACTCAGCACTCACCTTCGGCCAGTGTCAAGTGTCTGGCACCTCTGTCAGTGCCTCTGTCCAGTCTTTGCAGGGCATCGCACACCCTAGCACCTTGCTCAGCGCCCTAATGCAGTCTCTGCCCTCTCTTAGCAACTCTGCCAGTGCCTTGCTCAGCACCCTAGTGCAGTCTCTGCTCGGTGCTTCCTCTCAGCACCTCTGCCAATGCCTTAGGCCACTCTCTCACGCTAGTGCCTCACTCAGTGCTCCAAGCCCTCGCACCTCTGCCTGCAGCCTCGCACCTCTACCCTACAGGGTGCCCAGCGCTCACCTCTGCTCGGTGCCTCGCGCCAGCCCTCTCTCAGTGCCTCTGCCAGTGCCTTCGGGCCAGTCTCTGCTAGATCACGCCCTAGCGCCTTGCTCAGCTTGCTGGTGCTGTTATCTTGGCGCTCAGTGCAGTGCAGTGCCAAATCTTGGCACCTCTCAGCCACATCTAGTCACTCATCGTCATCCTCGCTAGCTTCCTCAGCCAGCACCATCATCCCAGGATCTAGAGCCCTCAGGGCTCCGATACCATGAAGAGATATGTGAAACCCTATACCCTAAACTGGATCTATATCCCAAACCCTAAATCTATATATGAAGAGATATATGAAGAGAAATATGAAGAGATATGTGAAACCCTATGCCCTAAACCCTAAATCTAGAGCTATAGGCGATCCTATAAGGTGTCTAAACAATCTTTTTGAGCTACAGTTTTTCTTTTGCTTTTCTAAACCTCCGTTCTGATGTAGTTATTGTCTTGACAGTTTCTTGTCACCCATGATGGTGCGGAGGAGCTCAGGTGAACCTTGTCAGCCAAGGAGATTCAACTCACTTTTGTTGATCGCAACTTGGTTGACGAGATTGGAGACCTTGTCCGCCCAGAGTGTACAATTTGATTTACACTGGTGTTGATGTTGCAACGAAGTTCTCGGATGCGAGAAAGAAACTTTCCGCAGCTGGTGCTACTGGCATCGTGATAACCATGCTCAATGAAGTTGCATGGCTGTTTAATGTTGTAAGTGAATGTCTGTATTTTTCTCTTCTGAGTTTTTATGTTTCAGCATGCTGGCAATTTCCCTCATCTCCAGTGGCGTGTGGTCCCAAAGTACACTCCCTCCATCATCCAGGGGAATTTGAAAGGATGCTGTCAGGTAGCTTGAAGTTTCTACCGTCAGTATTTTAGATTCCTCACAACTTGCAGAGCTATATGGAGTTGGTTACTGTGTCCAACAGTCGCAACATCACGGATCTCCAACGCTGCCTTACCAGTCATGAAAACCTTTAGAAATGTAACAAAAGAGAAAAATCTCCATCTCCTTAACTTGTTAAGCACAGGACAAGAACTTGGGTCTGGTGAAGCCGTTCCTTTACAAGAGGAACACATAAAGACTCAATCAAAAGGATGGGGACTCGGAGCAGTACGCACGAAACGTTTTTCCTAAATTCAACAGTAATAGTAAGACATTGCTATTCCTGATCACGAAGAAGCTGACTGCTGTAGACGAGCAAGATCCCTTCCCCAGAAAAGTAAGCCACGAATCAAATGTTTTCGTTTGTGCTGTGCTAACAGGATGCGATTTATTTTCCAGGTATATGACACTGATGACTTATAGCTTGGATCAAACTGCCTATATAGTGCCACGTGTATTATCAGATGGAAATCGATTGAATCGAATGGTTTCTCAGCTAGTGCAGTGGAACGGACTTTGTGTGCACTTCCAAAGCGAACGAGCGGTAAGAGCTCTCTCTTCGATTTTCTTCTATCCTTTCTCTTTGTTCTTTTCTTTTTTTTTCTTAGATAAGGAACAGCCATGGCTTTCGGTATGGACGCCTTGGTAGAAAAGCATACGTTGGTCGTCCGTCTTCAAATGGCCCTTGCTGGAGCTTTTGGTTCACGAACACTGTGAAGAAGCGGCGGATTTTAAAGCTATTGTTGATCACACAGCTTGTTTTGACAGTGTAGAGCCAAGCAAAGGTGATCAAATCAGCTTTTCTTTCACTCATGAGCCAAAAGTTTCTTCTTTGTAGGCCATTGAAAGTGAAGAGACGCATGTGTGCACGCATCCTTTCTCAGTCTTTCCATCACTGGAGCTAATCTGCTCAAAGTACAAGTTGGCTCCTTGTAACCTTTTTGTAGCTCTAACTATATGAAAGAAAAAGGATCTAATCACATCTCTAGATTCTAAAGCCAGGCCTTGCAAATCTCAATTCCCTTATGTTGGTTGCCATGCTGTAAACTAATGATTGTTTAGTAGCTAGAAACAATTGATTAAAATAAAAAGTACATACCACTTATTTTAGTTCCCTTTAGCAATAACTATTTTTATTACTTTCCATGCACAAAATTCTTGTGTGCAAGCATTTCTTTAATTGATAATCAATGGGTACAAGAGTATGAATCTACTATGCATTTCTCTTTTTGATTTCATATCCTCATTTAAAAGCTCATCATCTAATGGGTGGTTCATAGAGTTGAAAGCATTTCCTAGAATAAGTTAAAAAGTGTAATTCATGTGGTTCTAACCAATATGCATGCCAATGCTGTCTAAATCTTGGAAATAATTGAAGTTATATTTGATTGACATGGCATTTAGGGTGTGATGTGGAGATGTGTGGATATTTTCTAGGAGTTGTGGGAAGAGAATCTACACTTCAGGACAATAAAGATTTAAAGCGGTAAGAGAGTTGACTATAAAAAGAAAGGTGACAATAAAGAAGTGTTATACTAGGCTTCACCCTTTTCTTGAAGTGATTAACAGTGTTTAAAAACATTTAAAAGTGTTTCTAAAGTGATTTTTAGTGAACAATAAGGAGATTATGAGTGCTAGTAAAATTGTAATTGGTTTTTTAGTTTTTGGAAAGCTTTGTGTAACTCATAATTGGCCACTAGGAATAATGTATTCTTGAACAATTTCATTAAATAATCCTTGTTTATTTCTATTGTAACTTGCAAGAATTTCGCATAGGAGTAGTCAGTGTTTCTTGGCCTTGGTTAGAGCAAAGACTTTGCTAAATCAAAGTAGCTAACATATAGCTAATGATTGGCTAAATCAAGTTTTCTTGTAGTGTAATTAGGACTATCTATGGTTACTAATTGGTGTCTTAAGAAGTATTTCATAGAAGGATTAAAAACTTTATTAAGGGATGGCATGAAGAACAGCTTGCAAGAATCATATGCACAAGCAGTGATGTAGGCAATTGAGTTTATACTCTAAAAATGCTTTTATGAAACACTAAGGTGGAAAAAGTAGCGGAATCTGTGTGACAATCGAAAAATGTGAAAAATGCTATTACAAAAAAGATGCTAGAGGAGGTCAAGAGCTTGATCACAACCCTTACACAAGAGACAAAAGCCTAACTTACCAAAATGCACTATCAAATGGTGACCTTTGGTAAAAAAGTGGCATATCAAGACCAGAGTAATAGGTAGGGTAAATGTTTCAAATGTGAAGGACATAATTGGGTTAAGGGTTGCCCTCTTAACCAAAGGAATTCAGCTGCTAACATAGTCATAATTGAGGAACTCAATGAGGTTGGTAATATGGAGCTAGAAGAGATAAATAAACTAGATTCTGAAGGAGGATCTGCAATTATGTGCAATTCATACTTGAGAATAATATAGGAGAATGGAAAAACATAATAAAAAGGCTGTAGTTGCAAGGGCCAAGGTTGTGGAAAAAGGGATAAAGCCTCCTCCAAGGGAGCCGAAGTTTGAAACTAAAGAGATGATGAAGTATATATAAGAATCTTTTGTATAGTTTTAGCTCCAACAAATTCTCACCACCAATAATAGCCAAAAAGTCCTAAGACTACTTGTGAAGCAAGTGGATGAAGATCAGCATAGAGTCAAGGCCAAATGGAACAAGATTTAGAGTGAAAATATTGGTATCTTCACTGTGTTCTAGAAGGATCATCTAGTATGACCTCATGTGATCATGGAAATAGTGATTTATGGTCAGAAGGTTGAGGCATTGCAAAATTCTATTGCTAACCAATTTATCCTTAACTAGGAGGTTGTGAAATGCCTCAAGTTGGAGCATTTGGTGGAGCTTAGTGGTTATTGGTGCAAGCTATGCATATCTTGGGGTTCATTTGGGATTTGCTGATTCAAGTTAGGGCAAAAAAAATCTTGGTCACTATGCTTATGAATCACTAGGCTACTACTTCATGCTATTCGGGCTGAAGGCTTATTTACTCTTGAATGGGTACTTGAAGCCTCATAAAAGAATCTTTCAATTCTTTGGTAGTGAAGGGGAGAAGCTCTATGTCCCAATGACAATCCACTTGGACTATAACATTAA